TTACTTGACCTAAATCAAAAAATAAGGTGATATTCGTGATCAGCAACTCAGGACGAATCAGAATATATGTGAAAAAAGAAAAAAAAAATTTTGTGGAAACTTTGCATTACTGGCACCTTACAATTTACATCAAATGGTGAACGAACTGGATTTCAACTTGATGTTGTTCATCTATCAGACACTAGGCTTATCAAAGTAATTCAATTGTCTTTGGATCGAAATCTTATTTCAATTCTTTTTCACACTGGTTGATACATGGACACGTGAACAATATGCAAATTTTACATTAACACCATCCTGACATGATGGATTATTCAATTCGAAATTAATTGTAACAACTATTCTTGCATGTAAAATAAACATTTTCCTTGAAGATATATATGTATTGTTTGATTCTATGCAGGAAGCTTCTTATGTAATGTTTAAAAATAATCAAAATATAACTGATTTAACAAATCTTAATTATACAAATAATGATTTTGAAGGTTTTTGTGTTGATTTACTTGCAGAATTGTCTCGTGCACTGAAATTTTGTTATGAAATCAAACCGATTACAACATTATGTTATGATGATATGGTTGAAGAAGTGAAAAATAAAGTAATTAAACAAAATTTTCTTTATATACATATCCTTCTTTTTTTGCTTGTTTCTTAGAGAGCTGATTTAGCTGTTGCACCATTAACAAGTAAGAATGAAAAATATATGAAAAATCGAATTTAAATTTATTTATTAGTTAATTATGTTCGTGAAAAAGAAATTGATTTTACAAAACCATTTCTTAGTTGGGTATAGCAATTCTATTTAAATTACCCATACCAGAAAAACTAGGTTTATTCAGTATTTCAAATTCACTTGCACTTGAAATTTGGGTAAATATATATTATTGATTAGAAAAATATTTTCTATTTTATTTGAAATAGATTTATACATTTGCTGCTGTATTTACAGTTAGTTTTATTCTTCTATTAATTGCTCGATGTTCACCGGATGAATGGTGAAATCCATATCCATGTGATACGCAATACGATATTTTAGAAAATCGTTTTACTGTTAGTAATACACTTTGGTTTGCTATTGGAACATTAATGCAACAAGGTATTACCATTATTTTATAGACTAAAAATTAAAGAAAGAATTTCTTTTATTTATAAAAGGATTTGTGTAAAATCTAGCTAATGAAATAGCAGATTATCGTTCGTTTTAAACAAAATATATGCACATAATGAACCAGCATATATATGCGTCCGGAAAAAAATAGCTCTGCCTTGTATTTCAAATTTGTTGTCATTATAAGAATATATTTTTTTAAAACCAATTACATATTCTGACAGCCCATGGAGTTCTCTATCACCCTATATAATTAGGTTTCAGTTTATACCTATTCATTACCAAAAAAAATCTGAGTACAATGAAGGCACCCTCATGTTCAGATTCCCATAGACTTGATTTCTTGACTGTCATCAAAATTAGTTTTTAAAAATTTTTCATCACTATAGAACTATCTTTTTGATAAAGCGATTATAGATTCTGATAGAGCGTGAAATTCTCTATCACCCTGTATATTTACTTATTTTCTTATATTCCTCTATTGAAAAGAAAATTTGAGTACAATGAAAAGACCCTCAATCGACAAGTACGAAAAAATTCACAGTTTTTCGCTACTTTTTTTCTTGATTTTCTCTATCAAAGGATGTGGGCTGGGATGACCATTTTCTGGCCCAAGATTTTTTTCACTTTTATCTATCTGAAAGGTGTCAAGAGATTACCAGAAGTGTTTCCTATGACTTAGTTTTGCTACATTTCGAAGTGAGTTTTTTGGCCCCTGGGGTACCCTCTAGGATTCGAAAAAAGACTTTTTCTCAGATACACTTAAAAGTATATCAGTTCTATGCAATTTTGCGTGCTAATTACGAATATCATATTTATATTTCAATTGAACTAAGTTTTCTACATGAACAAAGCATTTTACCGTAGCAAAGGTCATAGAGCCATTTGACCATGGTTTAGCCTGTCAATAAATGAGCCAGTTCGCATAAGCCACGACCGATTCCCACAAAGGCTGCTCAATCGATAGTCTTCGATTCGCCTCATTTTTTCAGGAATGATAGAGGCAACTGTTTTATGAATTTCCATGCAATCCGTTTTAAAAAATTTTGTTCCGTTCTTGTGATATTCAATTTTTTCTGAGATTGATATCTCTTCAAGGAAACATCTATTTCACTTGAAATTTTTACTGTATGTTTATCTCTAGGTGAGATATTTTTCTTATTAATCTGAACTAGAATGGATGAATCATTGATGGGTCAGTCTAGAGTACTAGATCCATTGAAAAAATTGCATTTTTCTGCATTTTGTTCATATACATTTTTATTAAATGGATAATGCCAGATAACTAAAATTCTAACCACAGAGAGATCTCATTGAGTAGTAACTATGTTGCAAATTTCAGCTCCCCAACTAGTTTCCTTAGTCCAGAGTACCATTCTCAAAATTGCAATTTTGATCAAAATCACGATTTTTTCGGAGGTCTATCTAGAGCAAAATTAAGTCTATAGAGGACTGGTATTTAGAGATTCAAACAACACTCTTAGTACTATAAAGCCATGCAAGAATCAGGATGGGACACTATAGAATACGGTGCAGGGACTTATTGAAAGATGAGTCATAAAATGGGGTCCTGATTCCCACATAAAATAATCATAATAATTCACAAATTGATGAAAAATTTATCATATAGACAATTTTTCACGTAGAATCTAATGGTAATATTCTTTCGATTATTTTCATACGTTTTAGCCATGTCCCCACCTCACCATCCGTCAAGACGTGAAAGTGATATTTTCTAATTTTTAACCATATATAATGTCGTCGATGATATTTTTGAAGAGAATGAAAATTTATCCAATTTTTAATAGTGAGTAAGATAAACAGTTTCAATTCATCATTTTTAT